CACTCCCCACTCCTTTAGTTAACCTTATTTAAGGGACGTGTGATGGTACCTACCTAGCCTACCAGACACTTACTGAGCACTAGGAGTTCACTCCAGGCTGGCATGTTTCCCTCAGAATCTTGAGTATGCACATTCTCACTACCTAATGCCAGCCACTGTTCACGTAGTATTTCATTTAACCCCCACAGCAGGCCTGTTCTAAGTAAGAGAGGTGCCACTATACACCTCATTTTACTGGAATGTAGGGACTTCCATTTTCTTCCTTGATCAATGGACAAGCTATTCAGCCTCGAGCCTACTCTGTTCTAGAGCACAGAAGAGAAAGCAGAGACTAAGATGGGTACAGCTTAGATGGGGATAGCTTGCAGCCCAAATGTTCATTTCTGATGGAAACAATATGTCAAGCCATTACTTGGGCCTTCTTACAAATCACCTCAACTAAGCATTGGCACATTTTTTGAGGATTTCAAAATACTCAGATGGATGAGACTCTGCTGTTGAGCCCATCATTTTTCCATTTTATTCACTTTTTTGAATTTAGCTTGGGGATGGTTTGCTTTCTCAACTGATAGAATGAGTGCTTCTGGGTATTAACTCAGTTGTGCTTCCTCTGGACTGTATTTCTCCCCAGAACATAGAGCTCTTGATATGACCATCAAGAGGCATGGGCCCAATTTAGACTTTGCCACTTATTCATTATGTTCTTGGAAAAATCAGTGTGTCTCTCTGAGCCTCCAGTATTTCCTCTGTGAAACAGAGAGTGTAATACTTCATTTGCAGAGTTATGAAGATAAAATGGAAACAACATAAATACTTAAAAGACACATGGCAGTGCTCACAGATGCTAGTTCTCTCTCTTTCTTTATTGGTCATCCCTTGGGCCACAATCATCCTTCCCAGGATTCTAACTAAAGTGGTGCAGACAGACAGAGGCACCTGGCTGGCTCAGTGACTGACTCAGGGGGTCCTGGTATCAAACCCCAAGTCAGGCTCCCTGCTCAGTGGGGAACCTGCTTCTCCCTCTCCTTCTGCTTGTCCCCCCCCCCCCAATTTGTGCACTCTTTCAAATAAATAAATAAATAAATAAATAAATAAATAAATAAATAAATTGATACAGTCTGCCAGACAATCTTAAATCACAGTTAAGTATTCCTCAGGCCAAAGATCCTCTGACCCATCTTTGACTATAGGAAGTACCGTGGCTAGCTATCCTTAGCACAGCAGGAATGTTGAAAAGCAAAAAGTTTTCTTGTTTGAAAACATCCCAAAGTATTTATTTCAACTACATGTTATTGTGGGTTTTTTTTTTTCCGCTCTTGAATATCTGAATAGAGTTGGTTAATGAGATTAAGCTTTGTTAGCCTCCCAGGATTACATTTTTGGTTTATTAAACTACAAGATGTATAAACAAATGTCACTCTGTAATACGTGATGAGTCCCTTAGGGGAAAACAGCAGGGAGCAGATAAAACTCATGTTATAACACATTGTTCTTAATGTGGGACAAGTGTTACACATATTTTGAAAATTCATTTGACTCCTTCTGGAAACACTCTCACCAAAAAAGAAAGAGTAACCTTACTCTAGAATCACACTCACAAGGCAACATGTATTGTCATATATTTCATTTTCTTTACTTTCGTATTTTTAATAAACTTTGAAGTCCTTGCATTTTTTCCATTTGTTTTTCTTTGATGAGCTTGTGCATGCAGTCTTTATAAAGCCAATTCTTGGGGTATGGAATGTAGAAATTATTTGATTAAAAACACCAGTGACTGGTGGCCACACAATGGTTTATTTTTTTAATTATTTATTTATTTATTCATGAGAGGCACAGAGAGAGAGAAACAGAGACATAGGCAGATGGAGAAGCAGGATCCTTGCAGGAAGCTGATGCAGGACTCGATCTGGGGAACAGAAATCATGCCCTGAGCTGAAGGCAGACTCTCAACCAGTGAGCCACTGAGAATCCCCACACAATGGTTTCAAGTTTAAAATTGAGTTTGGGGATCACGGCAATGAAAATAGCTCAGACTCAGAGTTAAGGGACCATTCCTCTGGCCCGGGCACCAGCTATTCCTTACAGATAAGATTCTACATGGCCGAGGAAGGATTTAAAATACAGTCTTGTAAAGTTCAAAGGGTCCTTCACCTCATTTTCTGATCACAATTTCTATTTCCAAATTGGGCAAAATGAATCATAGATCTACAAAGCTATCAATCATTTTAACCAATGTTGCAAAGAAAATCTGAATTTCATTAGTTTTTAAAGCTTTTAGCAACAGGTTTGAAAGAGATACGTTTTAAGTTAAAACTTCTCTATGATTGACAATCACTTTTGCATTTTAGCATCATTGTTGTACATATAATTTTTTCTAATTAGCTCTCCATTTTTCCTTCTCACTGGTGTAGGTGGAACACAGAAGGGGCAAGTATGTGTTTTCCATTAACACTATAGTGTTCTTGTTTGCACAGTGATATATTCTCAAAAATGTTTGTACTCTTTTCAAACTGAAGTTTGAAAACAGCCTGGGGGCAAAGAAAACACTGGGTTGTATGTTATAAAAATTTCTTATAAGAGTATCTGCAGGAGTGTCAACCATGTCAGTCAAGCTACCTGTGCTTATAACCTCATATATCAGAATAAAATTTGAGTTTTGTTTTGTTTTGTTGTTCCCTCCAGAGAGTAAGACGTTACCTAAGCTCTAACTAGATTGAATCATGAGCTCATGGTGGTTTTGATATCTGGTTGTAGCAGCTGGTTTCTTCCAACAAATTTACAATGAAAGCTCCCCATATGATCTGCTTTCTGTTTATCTCACCTTTCTCAATCACTTCCAATTGGACTTTTAGCATCTGGTAACATGGTGCCTACTTATGACGGCATATCACAATTATGGGGAAGAACTGATCAAAATTCCCACGTCTCCATTACTCAGTGAGAATCAATAAAGAGCATGTCCATAAAGCAAGCTCTGATGGTGTTGAAACATGGTGAGGACTTGGAACAGGGGTGTGTACAGGAGCACACAGTGAGAAGTCAGAGATCACCCTTCCCACACTGCCAATACAGTGGGGCTTTGGGGAGACTGGACTGACAGTCTAGTGGGAGTGCTAAGCCTTCCTGTGTAAGCACATGTCACCTGCTCAGCCAGAGGTGTACCTGGCCTCAGGGAGAAAATTGTCCCTAAAATACATGCAAACTACTGTTTAGAGATCATCGTGGTTTTTTTTCTTTTTTTCTAACATCTTAAGATAAGTATTATCATATCACAACAAATTTAGTATGTGCCCAGCACCAGTCTATTTTTAGTTGTACGTCTTGTCATCTCAATTATATACTGTAAAATGACAACTATTATCCCAATTTTATAGATGAACTATTGAGCACAGAAAACACTGTACCTTGTCCAAATTCACATGGTTAGTCAGTCAAGGATCAGCACACATTTTCCATAAAGAGTCAGGTAGTGAATATTTTAGACTTTTAGCCATCAGTCTGTGGAGCAACAGCAGCCGTAAATGATACATAGTGCATGGGTAAGTTGGTGTCCCAACAAAATTTTATTTATGGACACTGAAATTTGAACTTCATATACTTTGCTTGTGTCATAAAATACTTGTACCTTTGATTTTTTTTTCCAACCATTTAAAAACCTAAAATCTCACACAATGAGATGAGTACTGTTATACTATTTGTTGGCAAATTGAATTTAAATATTTTTTTAAAAAAATAAATAAAAATAAAAATTACAGAAAGTAAAATAAAATAAATTAATTAAAATACATAAAAATCTAAAACTATTCCAAGCTCTTAGATTATATGTATAAAAATAAGCACCTTGGAGCACCTGGGTGGATCCGTTGCTCAAGCAAACAACTCTTGGTTTTGGCTCAGGTCTATTTCATGAAATCCAGCCTGCATGGGGGTGGGGGGAGTGGGTGTCTGTACTCAGCAGGGGGTCTGTTTGAGATTACTCCTCTACACCTTCCCCCTTCCCACATGTGCCTGCTGTCTCTCTATCTCTCTTTCAATCTCTCTTAGATAAATAAATGAATCTTAAAAAAAAAAAAAGCAACTGGCTGAGTTTAGCTCTTCAGCTATAGTTTGCTGCAGGAAGTGGTAGAGACAGAATTTAAACCCAGAATTTAATCTCATCCAGGCAATGTGGATCCAGTGAGTTCTTAATCATTATAGTAAATCATGATAGAAATTGCAGCAAAGTATGAAACAGAAAATAAGAACCACCCATAACACCACAACCCAGAAATAACCATTAATAATATTTGATATTTTCTTCCATTCTTTTATCCACCTGTATGCAGTATATCGTTCATTAATTATAGATTTTCACTTCTTGCAAGCATATTCACATTTCCAAAAAGACCCACAATTGCCACGCATTTTAAAGGTACTAAGGGAAACTGCCATTTTTGAAAGAATTCTATAGCTAATAATTTCCTAAAATAAAGAATCTTTTTATTAAGTGAGCAGTTGGTCACATTCCCTTTATCTGCTGCATATTTGCATTTCTATGCAGTAGATTTTGAAAAGCAATCCAGTCTGTGGACAGGGATGTAGTCAAAAGGCTTTGGAATCATCTAGACATAAGGTTGGCCTCTCACCATCCCTTAATTAGCCAAACAACCCTGAGCAAATCACAACTTTACCACACCTGGTTTTGCTTGTACTGAACCCAAGACCACTGTAAAAGTGTAGACCTGGCACAGAATATTGGCAATAGATAAAAACCAGTCCTTAAGGTCTTTCCCTGTCCCCCAAGATTCCTAGTCCCCAGCACCACCCACAGGAAATAGATTATTTCACTCATCACTCTTGTGAAAGCATCCTTTTCTGTCCTGTTCACTGAAAGAGTTTTCCAGAGTAAAAACAGCCCAAGCTTAATGACGTGGGTGGACCTGAACTGGAAGGGTTTCCTTCCCTTAAAACCACTCCTTCCACCTACTCCGCCCAACAGATTCTTCAGTTTCCAGTGCAAGCCTTGCCCAGGTGCCATAAACAGCAGGTAGCAGCCTGACATCAGCAGAGTCTGTGATCCCTTTCAAGCTACTAAGGAACCTCTAGACCAGATCTGAAAAGAATTCAGAGCCCAGCCAATTCCATGAGCAGCAGAGACTTTGTGGAGCTGACGGGTATGACAACCCCCAGAGCCGAGGGCTGCAGCAACACTGGCTTCCAGGTGAGCAGACAGGCGTGTTGCCTTGTGTTTAAGACCGCGTCAATGGGAATAAGGCTCTTCTCTTACCACCTTGGCAGGTTTCTGAACAAAGCAGTGGGATTACTGGAATGCAATAAGATTTTCTCATAAAACTTTTTTTAAAATATTGTATTTTGCTTCTTGAGTTCTTCCTGTTGACAAACCTGAAAAGTCTCTTTTATTTGAACTTGTTTGCATTGCTGACTTGCCCTGTCACTTAAGAACAAGACTTTCTTCTCTGGCTTTTGTTTTGGGCTCACAGGCCCTGCCAGCATTTTCCAAAGAGCTAGTAAAATGGAGAGAATGGGGTGAGTCCAGCTCCTGAATGTAAGGAGCACACTTGAGGCTTTCTTTCTTTATACCAGGTCCCAAAGCCCCTGTCTGACAGTGGCCTGGGTGCTCCCCTCTCCAGTGCAGCCAGGTTATGCAAACTAGTCTCATGTCATCAACCAAAACTCACTGAGTGATTAATGCCACTTACCTCTGAGCTGGGTGCTACAGAGACCCAGAAGGAGCCCTGTTACAGGGAAATGCCGGGTGTTCTGACTGGGACTGGGATGGGGGTTTTCAGAGATATCCCGGGCTGTGGTCCCTTCCCTAAGCTAGCATGGGAGTCACACTAATGGGGGTCAGCAACCTCCTGGGATTCATGGTTACCAAAGAAAGCAATACAAACTTTTAGGCACTGGCAAAGAAAGGACTAAGCATGGTAAAAGGGCTTTAGCACACATCCTAAGTCTTCTACCCACAAGTTACCGTCCCTTCCCTGAGTTTCAGTTCAGCTGCCTGTACAGTAGTCACAGTGATCTTCTCTCAAGGTTAGTAGTGTAAGGGAAGAAAAGTTTTGTCCTCTTCCCTCTTAGATTCAGCACCTGAGGTCTGTGAATTAAACTGAGAAATGGCAGATTAAACAGAGAAAGGCATATAAAGTTTACTAATATTTTAATGTTAGGGGGATCCCTGGGTGGCGCAGCGGTTTGGTGCCTGCCTTTGGCCCAGGGCACGATCCTGGAGACCTGGGATCGAATCCCACGTTGGGCTCCCGGTGCGTGGAGCCTGCTTCTCCCTCTGCCTATGTCTCTGCCTCTCTCTCTCTCTCTGTGACTATCATAAATAAATCAAAATTAAAAAAATATTTTAATGTTAGGTTCATGTAGCTTCATAGAAAAGAAATAAAAAATTCAAAGAACCTAAACAACTCAGGGGCTTATATACCATTTTAACAAAGGAAAAAGAATTATGGAAAAGTGATTAGACAAAAGAGAAAGAGAGAGAAAGAGGTTAAGGGCCAAGAGATTGTGACTAGGAAATATTGGGGTAGCTAATGGAAGATAAGGTTTAATATGAGGTTTATGCAATCTTAACTCTATTACCAGTGATTAGGAGTATTCTCCTCTCACTGCTGGAAGAGAGGACAGCTGCACAAGGGAAATTCATGCCCTGCTCTCAGAAAAAGGGAGGAAGACTGAAGAGTTTTCTGTGTCTGCTTTTCCTTAATTGCTTACAGCTCAAAATTACTCTCAGCCAAAATGGCATCTTTTTGGGGTGTTATGTCCTAACTCCCTTCATAGGAGTTAAATGAGAAAAAGCATAAAGCAGAGGTTCTTTATGGTTCAAGAGAATGGAAGAAACAGAATGGCATAGAATTAAAGTCAGGATGAAGCAGGACCCCCCTTTTTCTGCAGTGTAAGGGGGCCCATATCACCAGTGGTTGGCATCCCAGTCAGTGAGCAGGACACACATCCATCAAATTCAGTGAGCAGGACACACATCCATCAAAGATAGCCCTGGTTTCCATGCTTCATTCTCTTCTATCAAACATAGCAGTTCCAGGTATCAAACTCAGGAGAATTCCACACACCAACACCCACAAGCTGTGACCAGGTTATTTCTTCCAACGCTTGCGGTTTGACAAGACACATGTTTACTCAGCAAAATCATTAACTTCCCCCCCCTATTTAAGACCACTGCTGGAAAGGGATATACCAAGTCAAGAAGGGATAAGACACTATTCTTGCCCTCCAGGAGCAAAGCAAGCAGAAACTAATATGCAATTGTAACATGATGTAAAAATAAACAAAAAATGATGTCAGAAGTTGGCAGAGAGTATATTGCCCATACAGATGCAGGTGAGCCGGGCTGACCAGGAAGCCTCTCAGGGTGAAAGAAGGGGCAGGGATTTCCCAGTTGAACAGGGAGAGCTGTCAGCAGAGCAATGCAAGCAAAGAGAACTTCTCGAAAGAGGGTATGTGCTTGGGATAGAGAAGATGAGGTACTGGAGCTGGAGAGTAGGCAAGCTGACCCCAGATCATGTGGACTCAACGCATGCTAACACATTGGGGACGAATCAACCAGAATTTGACTATCCAATTGTTAAAGTACTCTACTAGCCCTGTCGAGGGTGGACAAAATGGAAAGAGATTTGTGTGTGGTTGTGATGCCACTTAGAAGGGTAGCATGATAATCATGGTGCAAACCAGCATGGGCCAGAAGTACCAATACTGGTTGGAGGCCCTCTCAGCCGTGGAACTAGCGTTGAGTCAGGGTGAGGTAAGAGTTGCTCTGGCTGTGAATATTCCCATTCTCTCCTCTGAAAGGTAGGATAATGATAGTATATCTTGGGGTTGAGAGAATTAAATGAATTAATATATGTTAGGGGGAGAAAGTATTTGTTTTAAAGAACTGTGCTGTCTTAGTTCGTTCAGGCTGGTATAAACACCATGAACTGGGTGGCTTATAAATAAAAATTTATTTCCCATGGCGACTGAAAGTGCAAGACTGTGGCACCAACAGACTTGGGATCTGGTGAAGACACACTTCCTCATGGACAGCCATTTACTTCTTGTGTCCTCAAGGGCAGAAGGTGCAAGGGGCTCTCTGGAGTCTCTTTTATAAGGGCACTGATCCCATTGTTGAGGGCTCTGCCCTCATAGCCTAATCACCTCAAAGTCCTCACCACCTAAATCTGTCAAGTTAGTATTAGATTTTCCAACAGGAATTTTGTGAGGATAGCGGGGACACCTTCAGACCTTAGCAAGTACCTAGCACTCAGAGTGAACATAATAATAGTATCTCTTGGTGCTGGTGCACGTTAAAGAGAGTGACTAGCCAACATATCTGGCTTGAGAGCAGAACTTAGAAGTGATTCCCTTTATAGAAACAGGAAATCCAGAGGGATGATTAGAGCAAGGACGACCATGAATTCATTTTGAGGCCTGCTGGATGAAATTAGGGTGATTCCTCACCCCTAGATGAAGATGGGGAGGAGGCAGGAAACTCCAGGCATACATGCACCTGGAGGCTAGAAGGGGCCATCATGCATTTGGGGGCTGTTAGCACACTGATGATCCAGCGGCATGAATGAGACCAGCTTATAAGAGAAACCTAGGAAGCCCCAGTGTTTATGGAGCTGGGAGGTTGGAGCAATCAGAGGATCTTCATCCTCAGGGAGAGAAAGAGGAGCAGCACCAGGAGAGGGGAGAGTCTGGGGAAGCCAAGGGAAAAGAGAACTACATCAGCAGCAGCAAAGACAAATTCACTGGATTTGCCAACCAAGAAGTCTCCAGTGACCAGGAGTGGGGGAGGAGGACAGGTGGTGTTATGAGCAGGAACTGTGAAGGGGGGCAAATGAGGGAAGAGAGGACGTTCTTTCCCCTGGCAGAGAGCAGAGCAGGGAAGAGAGACAGACTCAGGGGAGGCAGGATTGAGACTGTAGACAGGAGGCTTTTTTATTCAAAAAAAAATTTTTTTTAAGGATTTTATTTATTTCTTCACAAGAGACACAAAGGGAGGCAGAGGCATTGGTAGAGGGAGAAACAGGCTCCCTGCCAGGAGCCCAATGCAGGACTTGATCCCAGAACTCCGGGATCACGATCTGAGCCAAACAAAAGCAGATGCTCAACCACTGAGCATCCCCCCCAAAAAATTTCATTCTGAAATATAACATGCATAAAAAAACACACAAAATCAGATAGACAACTTATTATAAAGTGCCATCCACATCAAGAAACAGGACATTGAGTCCCTCAGCTAGGACACCCCAATTCTGTACATCTGTCACAACTGCCACCTCTACTGGGGATGACAATGATCCTAACTTTATAGGAATTACTCCCCTGCTTTGCTTTATGTCTTATCTTATAATTATGAATCCCCAAGCACTGCTTTTGCCTATTTTTAAATTGTATATAAACAGAAAATTACAAGAAAATATTTGCTTATTTTAAAACATTTATATGGAATTGGGCAAGATGAATCATTTTGTGTCTGACTTCTTTTGCTCAGTTTTGGATTCCTGAGACTCAGCCATGGTATTGTGTGTAACTGGAGTTCATCCCATTTCATTGATATACAGTATTCTCCATAAACATTACACAATTTATCTCTTATACTGTTGGTGGGCATTTATGTCGTTAAGCTTGGAGCTTTTAGGAGCTTCTACAAGCAAACGCAGCTCTAAACACTCTCAGACATGTCCCCTGATGCGTATGTAACAGACTTGTTTGGCATTATATTTAGGAGTAGAATCGCTAGGTCATTGGGAATGCATCTATATTTTCAACTTTAGCGACTCTGGCAACCTGGTTTCTCAAGTGGTTTTACTAATATACACTTCCATCCAAGGAGTGTGAGTTCTTTTTATTGCAGAGCCTCACCAATATTTATCTGGCTTTTTAATTGCAATGTTTCTGGTAGATGTATAGTAAGTCAGTGCAACACTTTGGTTTCATTTTACTTTTCCCTTGTTATTGGCCACTAGATACCAACTTTATGGAATGCTTGCTCAAGTGTCTCACCTGTTTTCTCTACTGGATTGTGTCTCTTTTCCTACTGATGTGAAGGAGTTCTTTTTATGTTCCAAAGACAAGCCCTTTTTCAGTTATATGGTTTCCAAATGACTTCTATACTTCTTGTTGTCTTTCACCCTTTAATATTTGGATGCACAAAAGTTAATTACATTGTGGTCCCAATTATTTATTAAG